GTGGTGGTGGTGGTGTTGGTGATGGTGATGGTGGTGGTGGTGGTGGTGGCGCCTCGGTGGTGGCGGTGAATCCCTGAGAGTCAGCCGTGATGAACAGCCCTCTCCCACTGACAACAGAACCCTGCGTGGTCCTGCTCGGTGCCTGGGACGTGCGAGCCCTTGAGTGTCTTCCCACCTTGGAGCCCTGTTGGTGCAGTGGTTAAGGACTTGGCTGCTGGCCAAAGGGACGGCCTTTGGGACCCAGTGGTCACCCCAGGGGCAGGCGAGGGAGGAGGCCCTGGTAAAGGGAGTCCCACGGAGCAGTCCTCCTCGGTCCGTGGGGTCGCCGTGAGTTGGCATCCACTGGACAGCAGCAGGTGTGGATTTGGGGGCTGATTCACACCTGTGTCGCTGCCCCTCCGCTTCACCAAGCTTGAGGCCCTCCGGCAGGGGCTGCTGACACAGAAGAGAGGGACACACGTGGCCAGGGGGCGTGTCTGAGGAAGGACAGCGTGTGTGTCTCCTGGTGTCTTCGGGGTGACATCAGGGGACTCAGAGGGAAGCAGTGGCTTTGCCCAGAGCCTCTTCTCCCGAGAGAGAGCGGGCAGGCTTCCCGATGCCTGTGCCCCGTGACACCCCATGTCTGTCACACCAAGTCATTCTGAGCGCTGGTGTCACAGGAGCAGAGCTGAGTCATTTCACAAGCTCAGACGTGTGTGAGCTTGTGCTGGAGTTCTGCCTCCAATCCGGCCCCTGGGGAGGGTGGGGCTTGTGCACGTGGCTGTGAAGTGCCGTGACTTGGGACAGATTCGCTGGGAAGCGGTGTTCGCCCCTGGCTGCAATCCCAGACCTCGCCTCGTGAGTGAGCTGGGCAGGACTCAGCCAGCTCCTCTGAGGCCACGCCACTTGAGAGCCACCCTGGACAGTAGGGTTGGGGCCAGGGCTTCACGGGAAGGCCCTGCTCCACTCCCTGCCCAGAAAAATATAAGCAAGGAAATGCACTGAGGACCCTCGATTGTCACATGCTCAGAGGGCGCTCCTCGCCCCAGCCCCCCTCTGGAGCCGGGACTCGGGAGAGAGACGCTATGGGCTGGATCCCTGATGAAAATCACCCTTCTCTCAGTGTCTGTGTGAGCACGTGTGAGTGTACATGGGTGCATATCCGCAGGTGTGCATTAGTGTGTGAGCATTGTGTATATGTGTATGTCTGTGTCTGTGTGTGTGCTCACGTGTTGGTATGTGGGGTGCATGTGCATACTAGTATGTTCATGTGTACACATTGTACATATTGCATGTCTTTGCATGTGATGCATGTAAGTGGGTACATGTGCCTGTCTCATTGTGTGTGAATGTGTATGTTTATGTGAATGTGTCTGTGTATAACCATGTGTTGTTGCATGTGGGTGTGGGAGGTACATGTATGTGCTGGCATATCTGTGAACGTGTATATATGTATATCTCTGTGTTAGTACATGTGGGAGGTGAGGTGCATATATGTGCTGGCATGTCTGTGTATGTGATTCTGGTGTGTATGCGCATTATTACATAGGCAGCAGCAGGCAAGGCCAGATGCCCAGGAGTGGGCAGCCGTGGACTGTCTGTGCTCCTGAAATAGGCGATTGCTGGCCCAATTAGGTCGCAGGCCGGGCACTGCGCCTGTGCTCCAGCACCAGCAGGGCTGTGGGAGTCGGCGTGGGCAACGAGCCCAGCCCAGGCTGTGCCTGAGTTCAGTAAGGTCCTTGGAGCTGCAACGACACAGCAGAGCTATCTGGCAGGGGGACAGGGTCCCAAAGAAATTCTTCCAAGGCTGACCTCCTGCTCCAAGATCCTGCTACCTCTGCCCAGCGGCCCGCAGACTCATGTCTGGTGCTTTGCTTGAATGCCCTCATTGGCGGGCAGCTCTGGGGTGCGCGCTAGCCCGCCCAGGTGTGCAGATCAGCAGTTCCTTGCTCGTCCGCGGAGCTGTGCAAACATCACCTCTGCCAGTTTGGGAAGGTGCTCTTCCCCGCAGAAAGAAATGCCCTGGGCGATAGCTTACAGCCCTCTCTCCTGCCCAAGCCGCCTCGAGCCTCTCTCTGTGGTTTCCCAAGGGTCTTACTGGTGGGTCCTTGGGGTCCAGCCTGGTGCATGGACGTGGGAGTGGGGTAGGGAACAGCACCACCACCCTCCCGCCAGCGTGGCCACCCACGCCCCGCAGTCCAAGGCCCGGGGTGGTGAGGGCATGCTCCTCTTGGCCTTTGACCTTCTTCCAGGGTGATATCGCCAGTTCTGTCCACTTCTCTCCCCTAGCCCCCAGCTGGGGCCCTCTGCAGTGAGGATGTGGACTGGGGAGAACAGACGCTGAGCCTGGTACCCCTTGTCCTTGCCAGTCTTCTCTGGCCGCTGATGCAGGTGGCCTTCCCAGGGAGGGCCCTGAGCATAGCCAGGCCACAACTCCTGTCCAGCTCCACTCCTGCCAGTCCCAGCTGGGCCAAACCCCAGACTCGGCTGTCCCGACAGTGCAGGTGCCTGCGATGAGGGTGAGCTTGAAGGGAAGGACCATTTCTAATGCCAGGGTCATCTGTGGCCGGCCAGGGTCACCTGAGGTTATTCATGGCAACTCAAGGTCAGCCAGGGCGGTCCACGTTCACCAGGACCATCCCATTCCATGCAAGCTCATCTGAAGACTCCCAAAGTCACACAAGGTCACCCAATGGCTTTCAAGGTCACCCCATCACCCAGTCTTTCAAGATCATCCAAGGTCATTCGGGACACACAAAGGCAGACTTGAGGGATATGTGGGTGATGCATGGCTAGATGATTCTGGCCAGGATGATGTTAAGGTTCTTCTGTGCAAAAACACCCCAGCTGGACCAAGGCTGGGGAGCTCAGGTAGGGACCAGCCTGCAGACTCCTCGGAGGACCCCAGCGCCTCCTCCAAGCCTTGGGCACATGGATGGGAAGGGTAGATGAGACCCTGAGAGATCAATGCATTGCAGTTAATCACATGACAAGCAAAACACTGCATCTTAAGAAAGGCGTGTGGGGGTTCTTGTCCCCCAGATTGGTGACACCAACAGAGAAGAATCAGAAAGGAAGAGGATCCTTCCAGAACCTTCCCAGGAAGCCCCGGAGGACAACGAGGTGTTTGGTATGTAACTGGGCACTAGAGCACACGTGTGTGCATGTGTCCTGGGCTGAGTGTGGGTTCAGTGGTCACAGGGGAGACTCTCACTCTCCCTCTGCCTCTTCTTGATGATACAGCTCAGAGAGCCCAAGTCCCAGCCCTGAGCTGTCGGCCCACCTCACACAGACATGGGGACAGGCCCCTCCTCCCTGGGACCCCTCGAGTTATCTTCACCCTTTGGTGGGGGAGGTCAGAAAACCCAGCAGCACCCAGAAGCCATTCAAAACTCAGACCCTGGGGGGAAGTGAGTGGTCCCCAATCTTGGATCCCATGGGGTGGGTTTACCCACAGGGCTGATTCAGGAGGTGTTAGTGAGGAAATGCCTGTTTGATGTTAATTTACACTTTTTCATTGGCCCTTGCTGCATAAGAACTGCCTTTTCCTGTGTTACCCGACTCTGCCTCCGCAGGAGGAGGGAGGGAGAGGGGAGGGAGGGAGGAACAGGCTCTTGCTCGCTCATTGCTGGCCGCACCCTGGCCCAGGGCTGGTCAGGGACCCTAAGCCCTTTCCCTGTCCTGGTTCCACAGGACCCTGAGAGCTTCAACCAGCTCTTGGCGCAGGTGTCCAGGGAAATTACCTGCCAGGTGCCTCCTGGAGTCCCCACCTGTGTGGGAGCTGCCTGGGTCTGTCGGCCCCTGTGTG